CCCTTTTTTTTACAACGTTTTTCAATATAATATTAAGTTTCTGAAGACATGGTTATTGACTTATTGTTTTTCGTTGAGTCGAGTCGAGTCGAGTCGAGTTAGGACCAATTCGACATGTACACAAACTCATAAATACATCTACTCTAAACTCATCAATATGTTAAAGTTAAACAAGTTTTGTTATAATTGTCATCCCCAATTGAGTAAAGATTAAAGAACACCTTACCCAAATAACAAGAGAAAACAATGGGTCACGCTAAAGAAGCGGTAGATGCGGCGAAGATCGTGGTCGAGGTGGCGGAGCTCGCTTGGTGCGCCGCTGAGCTCCTCCATCGCAACAACCACTCTGATCACCCCGATAATTCCGTCGCTGAATTTAATGCTCCTCTTACTGTCGAAGAATTCGAGGAAATTCGAACAGAGAATAGACAATTGAAGGAATTATTGGAGCAGAATTTGAAGTTGTTTCAGAAGATTTCTTCTTCTCCTTGCCTTCTTCAAGATTGCCCTCCTGATGTATGTTCTTAATTTTGATGTTCTGTTCTAGGGTTTGTTTGATTTGGGTATGTGAATTTAGGGATTTGGGAAGTAATTTTGGTTAATTTTTTGGTAGAATCTTGTTTTTTTGTTTTGATTTGGTAGATTTAAATATTATGACGAAATTAGCTTAAAAGATTTGGTCTTTTTAGCTTTTTGTTGTGTTTTTGTGGATTTTATCATTGGGAATTGATGGTAGAAAAGATAATTGCCTGACCCCTTTTGATTTATGCTTCGGAAGTTGATAATTATATTTTTTGGAAGTGATTGAATGAAAAATTGCATGCTCCCCTCTGGAATTACGCTTTGAAAGATGATCATTGTGTTGTTTTGAAATGATTGATTGGTGAAAGGAAAATTTCCATTGCCCTTTCCGCCTTTTCGAGTTATGAATCTGAAGATGATGATAATATTGCTGTGGAGTGATTGGTGATGGAAAAAGAATTGCCAGTTTCCCTTATTGAACTATATTTATGCAAAGTAATTTGCTATGTGTTTATTTGGTTTAGATAAATTACAGTGAGATTGATGCATCAGGAATTGTATATTTGTGTGAGCCCATTTTGGATCAAGGAGGAATGAATTAAGCAGTTTGGCTGTGTTGGAATGTAATATTAGCTAATTATGTAATTTGTTTTATGTTGTGAATGCAGCTTCACGAGCGTATTGTGACTGCTGTAGATTCTGAAAGCTTCTTGACTCGACTTCAGTCGCTCCGTGATGGATCAGTGAATGGGACTACAAAAGAGTTTCCTTTTAAAGAGCCTACAGGTTTGTTGTCATTTGTAGTAACTAAATTATAGTTTGTACAAATTTTTTCCATATACTGCCGCAAGTCCTGACTTTTGCTGTTTATGGGGATTATTGTTGCTTTGCAGGAGAAGACTTGGAAGCTGTTGAAGTTTTAATCAATGTTGACCAAGAAGAGCCCAGTTGGTGGGTGTGGGTTACGGATTCCATGGTTCCTGGAAAAGTTGAGGAGCACAGTGGTATAGATGACGAAAACTATGTTATAGTCTGTGAGGAACAGGTGGTGGATGGTGTTGCCAACTTCCTTGCTAGATGCATTGTGTCAAATCCTAAGTTGCAGAAATTGACTCCAGAGCAGCTACAGAAAAGTAAGTTTATGTTGGCTATTGGCTTTTCATTACTTTCGTAGAACCATTTGTCATTAATATATGATATTTGTATTCTACAGAGTATAAAATAAGTCTCTTTTAGACATTGATATCTGTAGAATTTCCATTCCACTGCATCTTTAAGGTTGCTCTCAACGGTTTGTTTGTTCATGGCTTCATACCCTGCAATTAATTTTATTCGTCTTGCTTACAATGATTTTTTATAAAACAAGTGTGGGCTGAAGTTACAGGCATTGGGAACTTTTTTGAGATCTAACTAGGTAGTTTTCCTTTAAAGGAATTGGCAATTTAACATCCCTGATCTTGACATAATGACATAATCTGCTATCCAATGGATCTCAAGTGACCAACTTTTAGGTCTTCATATAACGTGATCTTAATTTTTCTTGACAAAAACCCCTAGAGTGAGCCTTTTGGTACCTCTTTAAGAGTTAAGACAACAAAGACAATATGACATATGCCCTTTATAAGATGTTTGTGAATCAAATGAGGAAACTTTGTTAATTTGTTTATAAGTGTCTCAGAGATGTCCAATTACATTGATTTCTGCTGCTGTAATTTATGTACTGATGTGTGATTTTAACCGTTGCAGCTTTGACCAGCTCACTTGGTGGATTTCACAAGGTTGAGAAGATGCTGAGTATATGGCATGCTGGGAAGCTGTTCTATGCCCTTTCTACATGGGGACTTGCTATCGCAGGGTCAGTTGACTTCCACATAAATACATTTTCCAGGCCCCCTTTCTTTAATTTTCAAGTTCATATTTTTTTTCTTGAAAGTAACATGACAACCCTCCACTCCCCTTTCATTTTTGCCCTTTCACTGTTAAACATGGGGACAAGTAATGGATATCAGTGTAAATTCAAGTGTCTGCCCTCTCAATTTAGAAATATTCTGACCGATTAACGCTAATTACCAAGCTAGAACGTGGGCTGTGCTCACAACACCGAATTTTAATCTAATAATTTTCGATGATAATAATAAATCATTCTTCCTAAAATTGTTGTTAAAGTGTACTACACAAAACAGGATTGCAATATTTTAGCAAGTTTTTTTTTTTTCTTGGGGTCTATTCTTTGTGTAGTAGCTGCTTGGTATGGGATCTTGCCTTTATCATTATTCAGTGATCAAGAAATATAGGAACTTTAACTTCCCATGACATACAGTTTTTTTTTTTTTTTTGCTGCCTCATCTCTCTCTCTCTCTCTTCACTGGGTGCCAGATTGCCAGTGAGTCAGCTATTTGATTAGCCTCTCTCTGTTGTGCAACAAGCTGAACCTCTTATCTTTTTTGTCAATTTATGCTTCACTTTTTCACATGTAGTCTTTCCTAGAGCTGGCAAAGCAGGTATACTGGTTGTGTTTGTGTTTGATTTTGTGTCAATTTCTGGTGGTTCACCAAATACATAAAAAAATTATGTAAAAAGTAGGATAGGATAGCCGATAGGTGCATAATTGCATATAATTACAAATTGATCTGTTTGGGTCGGGTTTGATTCTTGTTTGTGTCTTTTTGGATTTGGGTTTCTCTAGGTTGGTTTTATGTCGTGCCAAGGATTACCAACTCTAGGACTACTCTTTCCTACTTACCTATACCCTTTAATCTTAGATCATACTCCCTCCGTTTTTAAATACTTGCTCCACTTTCCTTTTCTGGCCGTTTGTAAATACTTGCTCCATTTTCTCTTTTGGAAAGCTTTTACAATATTTAATTCATTTCTCACACTTAGTGGACCCAACATAATACTCTCTCTCCTCCTATTCTTCCACAACTTTTGCTTTTTACAATTTTTTATTTTCTCAACTACCCCACTACCTCCATATTTTATTACTTTCTCCAATTTCTCCTAAAACTCCGCGCATGGAGAAATGGAACAAGTATTTAAAAACGGAGGGAGTAATATGTTTTCAATTTTCTTCAACAAGGCTCCCACCAAAGGACAGGGTTTAGTTATTCAGAAATTCACAGCCTTGAGCTATGCAATTATAAATCCTCTTTCCCTTGCTCCTACTACTGCAAAGAGGTTGTTTCCATTACTTTTGTCTGGATAGGCAATTGACTGTTTTACTTCATTGCAAATTAGAAGTTAGACAATTTAGTATGACAATTTCTAGACAGCTTAACAACATCGAGGGTGTAATCTCTCTCAGTATCAGAGCCATCTTTTGGTCATATATTCTCATGACATGTGAATGACAGGGATTGATTGGACTGTGGAATAGCCTATTTATTGCCATCATCCCATCAATGACTCAATCCTAATGGAGCCACATCCTGAAAATCACTGTGTATGTTAGCGATATGTTGTCATCTGCATTTTGTCTTTCTGGAGCAATGCAGAGCCACAGAGGCTAAGCCATGGAATTGTTCTTTTTAGTGCCCTACCTTTGAGCCATATGCCCTTAGGCACAGCCGTACTTCACATTGAAATCACATTTGGAAGGATTTGAGATGCCCTTAGGCACGGCTGTACTTATCATAGAAATCACACTTGGAAGGAATTTGAAATAGCCATGCCTTGTGCTCATATACTTTGATAATTGATAATGATTGAAGTAGGAACTATGAAGCAGGCTACAGCTTTTTGGTTTTGAAACATTCATTTAATTGGGCCTTGTGCTCATATACTTTCTTGTGTAGGATGTACCAAAGCCGTGCAGTGCTGAAACTTGCTGCTCATGGGGTTCATCATACTAGTAAACTTGTACTAAAGGCCATTTGAAGACTACCATCTTACTATGATGCGTGCCTGTGAATCAAGGCTGTTTGAAGATTATTGTCTTACTTTGAAGTGTCCCTGTGAATCAAGGCTGTTTGAAGATGACCGTCTTACTTTGAATCAATAATGCACGCTGTTAGGATTGTTTTCATCTGTCTTAATGTGTTACCTAGCTCACTAATTAATTGTAAATAGTTGTAAATAACATTGGCTTTCTTTGTTATGTGATGAGATTCTCAGTGGAAATGTTGATGTTCATTGTTTCTTCAATTTAATCATTCTTGTCCAAGCTATATTCACATTCTTAATGCCGAGGGAATTAAGCTCTCACTTACTCTAAGCTGAATCAAGCTGAACTATTCCGAATGGAATTTTTGGTTGTTTTTTTCTCTAATACAGTAAGATACGGGATCCCTCCAGTCCTCCACCCCCTCTCCCCCTCTTCCTATTAGAGTAGAATGAATTGAAATGAATTGCAGTGAAATTGTCAATATTTATACTAGTTCAAAATGGATATTTTTTTTTTTATTATTTTTTGTTTTTTAGGGAAGTTCAAAATGGATAGATAAAAGTGAATATCCAAAATAATAAATAATTAATGATCCTTCAAAAAAAAAAAATTAATTAATGATACCACAATTTGCAATAAACAAAGCTGCCTACTTGACTACAGATCAAGATCTATCTTTTTCGTAAAAATAAATAAATAAAATACTCAGTATCTTCATAAATTATACTCTGTACTCCGTATTAATTGACTATATACGTATAACAGAACAGCAAAAAAAAAAAAAAAAAAAATACAAAGAATTTACAGAAGCTAGAACAGGACAGCTCAGACAGAGCATCACTCAGTCACATCCTCATTCTTGATCGTGAAATCATGGAATTGTACACAAAAATGCATGGCTGGCATTTCAAGCACTTTATCCATTAATTTCTCATACCAACCATCTCTATTCATTTCTTGGTTCAATCTTCCAACAAATCCTTTACTTTTCTTCTCACAGTAAGCCAAAAACTTTGCCACAATTCCTGAATCCTTTTCTTCCCAACACTTCGCGCTGACATCTCTCTGTTTGAACACCGGCTTTGGACCGCCAAAACCGGCCAAATCGCTTATATATTCAACCATTCCAGCTAGCAAGGTCTTCGGAGCTGTGTGTTGCCTATTGAACAGCAAAATTTCAGCCATGCCTTTTTGAATTTCTTTTCTGATTCTGTACCTGAAATTACCAAATTCCATGACTAAAGGATTTATGAAGAGTATATACTTGCTCTTTTGTCCCAAAGACTTGACAGCAACTGTATGATCACTGGTTAGATTGTGGCTGACTAGTTGGACATCGATCTGGTCGATGAGCTTCTCAGGTATGCTATCATCACCAGGAAAAAGAACTTCGGCAGCAAAAGTGGAAGAACTTTGAACTAATCGGATGGCTTCATCATTGGAGATGAAAAAGAGAGTGAATTTCTCTCCCGCCGGTGTATCCTTCATGTTGTTAACGACTGTGATCACAAATCCTTTTGATGCCTCATGGGATGCCCATATGGAGATGGCACCAATTAAGAATATAACAAGGAGACGAGCAATTACACTCAAGCGGGATGAGGTGGTCTTGCCACTATCGTTTGACGTCGGACCCACAAAGCCAGTGGTGGTGGTTATTGTGGCATCCGCATTGTTTGCCAAGGGGAGGAGGGGGTGGCGGAGGTCCTTCTCTTCCATGGATGGAATGCTGTATAGGATAGATTGAAGGGGCAGCTCCAGATAGTTTTGTATAAAAATAGGATCAAAATCACATACGAAGCCAATGAGTTATCCTTAAAAATAACATGGGTGGGACACTATAGATTCAATAAAGGCACATGGGATCATATTATCCAGCTAGATATTTGTCAGATCTTTTTTAATTAAGCGTGTTTAAATACAAACCTAGTCTTTGGAAAGAACATTGTACTAAAAGAGACGTAAAGTTATCCAAAACATAGCAACATCTGCTGTTATTATCACTCTTCAAAACAATTAACTGAGTTATCTGATACTAATGAAAGGCTACAAAGAAATACAGTATATGATTTATAACCAAAGAACTATAAGGGGAAAAAACACATAATCTAACCAACTAGGCTTAACCAGAAGAAATTGCAGTATCAGAAAATCTGTGTAATGATCCTGGTATAATTTCATATTTGCTTATGCCAGGAATAACAGAATGGACCATGCTTAACAGTTTTTCGACTCTCGTAAACGAAGCTTCATGGAGCCACGTAAGCATACTGCCGCAAGTTTGAAACCCTGCAAGTAAATTTGGCACACACGTTAGATTGATCAAAGGTGAAAAGGGAGATAAAATCTAAATATCTACTCGTATATAAAATAAAGATCACGCCCCCTATAGGATATAAGATATTTGCCAATACCATCATTTGTGCAGAGTAAAAGTTTGAGCTGAAATACCGAACATGTGTGTCATGATGGATCTTTTCTCTTCTGACCTGATACTGATGATGCATCTGACTGGGCTCGGCCATAAACTGACCTATTTTCTCAAATAAAGATGCAGAAAGCAAAGAACAGAAAAGCAATCAGATATGTAAAGGAAGATCAATACAGGAATGTGACACCAAAATCTGAGAATTAACTCTGTCCCAAGAAAGTAAATGTCACGTCTTTTTGACTCCTGCCAAAAAAAAAAAAAACCTTGCAAACCCACCCTCACACACACTTAACAATACAGTTTAGAAATAGCAAGACGAATAATCCACCAAAAAAGTTTGTACAACGCGCTTCACCGCACAGTGCACAAACTGATCTTGAGCAGATGAACCAAATGACAAGTCCAATGGCACTACAGAAGGTATGGTAGGTCTATAAATAACTAGATGACAAGTTCAGTGGAAGGTAAAAGTGTTTTCCAGTTAATTATATTGGGCAGACCAAGTGGATGTAAAGAACCAAAATTATGTCAAATCCACAACAAAGAGACTCATATCCCCTGCAATGTAATGGGCAACAGCTAAAATAAACTAAACTGCTTATACAACTGCTAAGCATGATCCTTTAACCATACTAAGTTTGTTAAGTCCAGAATGGTATCAAGAGATCAGCAGGAGGTGGTAGCTTCACTAATACAAAATAATGCAGAAGTTGTTAAATTTAGTTGCTGAGAGATTTGTTACTCACCCACACGTAGAACATTTCTTGTGGTGCATACAGAATATAGACAAGCATACTGAACATATGTAACCCATATCTATCGTGTTTTTGTGGCAAAAACACCTGGAAAATTGCATAGCAGACATTAGCACATAATATTGAGAAAATGGCAAAGCACAAAATACCATGTTAAAGCAACATAAAAGGAATCATTTATACACGAAAGTAATAAGAAAGCTTCAGTTGAGCTAATGCAAAGGAATAATAAACTTACGAGGCACGGAAATCAACGCCTACAGGTTTAGGAAGTTGTATGAAGTTCCTCGAGTGCAAGTCAGTAGCAAAAACAGTCTGCATATTATAAGCGTAAAAGTATAAGTCTGGAGAAAAAAAATTAGGAAACAGTCCCTGACTCCCTGCAATAACCAAGGACAAACTACAGTTGGTTCAACTGTTCAACCATACCTCCATACCCCTAATTATAGGAGGGGGAGCAGATAAAATTGTAGAAATGGAGCGCATTATTGATAAGGACAACAAATAACTTACAGAAAGATACTGAAATAGCCCTTCAAGTTGTTGAGGTTTCAAATAGACCCCGCCAGTAATATAAGACGCCTTGCATATCAAATGCAACAGACTTTAAAACATCTAAATGGACTATAAAAGCAAAATCATTGAGGAAAAAGCATCATGCACTACCTGCTGCAAGAAGGCAGAGTGCTGTGCTCCTATAACACAAGAATCAATTGGGACCTGCATGTATATAACCAAACATATCAAATTTGTAGACATCAATTGATCAAACAAGAGCAGTCAATTATGTTTAATGTGTCTTCCTTTGGGATTAGGATAAGGATAGGGTCATTGTTCCAGCCAGAACTTGAAATTGGTATAATGACTAGTTCCCTTCACCTTATAATAACCTTTATTCAGTAAAAATTAACTTTGATCCTTAGAATCAGTAATTTCATACAACCAAATATACAAGTGACTCATTTAAAATGTTTTAATCGGTGAAAAACAGTTTTATCATTAAAATATAATCTAGTTCAGTAGAATCAAGGCCTAGGAAGGTTTTTGTTGAACCAAAAAAATAAAATAAAATATAAAGCAAAACACACACAAGATCAGATAATACAGCCAAAAACAAAAAAAGATTTTAATACTTCAGAAAGAATTCTATTTTAACATTTGCAAGGCTAGAAGTATCCCTCTCTTCCATCCAAGTTATAGTAGAACTAAAGTTCAATTCAATCTTTAAGTCAACTGAAGCCCCCTGTTTAAGCAATATATGTTTCTAATGGTAATGAGTATATATGTATATGTGTATGGAGAGTATTATGCCAATGTCCATTGTTATGCATGTTCACCCCAAGATGATAAAAGTAATGAGTATATATGCAAATTTGTATGGAGACTAGAGAGTATCATCACTATCATGCAAATGTCCATTGCAATGCATGTTCACCCAAATATTATCAACTTTTTTTTTCAAAATAATCCATTACTAGAAATACCACATCAACCATTTGTACTCATATAAGCTCACCTGTAGCAGAGACCAACATGGAACCATCTCTTAGCATACAGTCCTTTAAAGTTATCACCGCATAATAACATTAATCTTCAAACAAAAGATTCCGAGGATTCCGCATAATGAAATCATATTAAATGTTGTTTTGGAAGAGTAAGTTTGGTCCTAAATCAATAATGTTCATACTAGGTTAGCAATAGTCATTCTAAGCAACATTCCAGAAATATATCTAACCTATGCCAACTCACCACTTATGGATTCTTTCATCTTGACCCCATAAACATCAGGAAAGAGAAACAAAGGTAACAAAGGAAGATGGAAATAGTGTAGCATCATGACAAGGAGCATGAAATATGCAACATAATGTCTAGGAGTGCAGAATTTGAAGGTGTCCATCGAAAGAAAGTCTGAAACCATAAAATAGAAAAGAGCTAAAAAAACATAATTAAGGGACTCTCATTAATTTCTTTATATGCAATCCTATCTCCAATATGACATATAAATAAATCAAAGGGACTATATTCTAAAACACAACCTATCTACCAAAAATATTAATAACTGTCATCGCCGCTCTAAGAGATTCCCACGGGCTCCAATATCAGAAAGGCATCACTAAGTCATACTCCCTAGTGAAGCATTAACTACTAGACAAACACTTCCCTACAGTCTACCAAATCAGCAAAATAATTACTAGTATAAGAATTTAAATGTAAAGTAGATGGCTGTGTACTCTGCTAAGTACTACTATATGTACAGAGTACAGCTACTGAACTATTTCTCCTTGCTCTTAGCTTTGTATCATCCACTCAATCTCATACTTACTGGGGCATCAAAGCAGACACTATGGTGGCAGAGAAACAACTAAAGTATGATGTTAATCAGCTTCCATGGTCTCACAAATCTGTTGGGTTATCAGGAAAAAGAAGCAGGGAATTTGCATTAAGCTTCCTTTGTTTTACCACATAAGACTCATGGTGAAGCTTCACCATAATATTGGTCAAATAGATGCTTTATCAACCCGTGACAACGGGGAAAAAAAAATCTGGATTACACAAACTTTAACTTGAGTATTGAATGAATAAGGTACCATGGAACGCTGAGCTGAAAAGATAGAATTCATCACAGCAACATATCTGAGAAAGGCAAATTAGAGAAACTTAAAGACGAATGTTAAATTACAAAATTGTAGAGTAGAATAAAGGAATGAAAAAGAAAAGAACATACTGCTCAGGTCCATCGGGGGATCCATGCAAGCATAATATCTGCCAATGTAGCACAAAAATTAATAAATTGATCCAACAACTCTTGCACATGTTACATTAATAACCAGCATTTTTCTTTAGATGTCATGTAAAGGCCAGTAGGCCACAGATAATATCACAAACAACTACGTCAGCTGAAGAAATGTTCAAGTTTTACACTTTATTGCAGACTCGCGGTACCATGGATGAATGCAGATGCTTTGGAAAGGCATGAAAGGTCCAATCAACATAGCAGTATTTGAAGGGTGCTTAACAACAGTTATACAGAATGCAACTAGCTCTAAATTATAATTTTAATAAAGTTCTTTTTTTTTATGAAACTGAGCAAATATCACAAAATCCACAAATTGCTTCAACAAAATTGAGATTTTTCATACATACTGAAGCCCATATTTGATACATACAGTAGTTATCAAATTTCAAAATTACCAAACATGATGAAACACAGAGAAGACTAAAAACTACAAACACAAAATACAATCAAGCAACTCACCCTTGGCTGAGGATGAAGCGGCCCGGATCGAAAAACACGCTGAACATCTATTTTCCACAAATTAATCCAAACAAAACCAATAATGTCCTCAAACTTAAACACTCATTAACAATCAAAACAACAAAAAGCTCGAAAAATCGAACCAAAGGATACAACAAAGAGCCATGGACAGGGAACCCGATAAAAGTGAGGAACCCACGCCATTAGCAGCACCAACAGAGCTCAAACTCTCATCATTACTCACAAAATCCTCCAAATTCTTGAGCACTTCCGAGCAAAAAGCCGGCATTTTAGCATCATCCGAGCTCTGATTGGAAGAAATCGACGACGAAACCGACGATAACGACGAATCGTAAATGTAACCACAAGTATTGTGTCCTGTCGCAATGATCACAACTTGGTTCAGCTGATTGAGCAGCAAAATTGAATTGATAAATGAGAGAATCTGCAAAAAAAGATAGAATTATTACGAATGAATCAATAATGAAGAAAATTAAGGAATGAGAAAAATTAGGGTTTAGGGTTTTACGTGAGAAAGGAAATGGGAGAAGGAGATAGAAGATGAAGTCCAGAAATATGGATTGGTGTCGAGCAATAGTACCACCAAACTTACATCGTCTGCAAAATTCAAAAATTAAAGGTTTGAATTTGGGGATTTTTGAAAGTTAGGGTTTATAATTGGGGAAAATCTGTGATGATTTGAAGGAGGAGAGAGATAGAATGTTGATGATTACCAGTATAGAGCTTGGAAGCAATCGGAGCCATTGCCGGCGACGTGAGTTTTTCTGACTTGAATTTATTTTGACGACTTCACTTATTCACTTGTGTTAGATGTGTAATGTGTTGTACGGAGTATAACTTGTGTTTAACTTCTTGTCCTTTGGTTCGGGTCGGATTTTGACCGGTTGGATTAAGATCAGTTAACTTGAATCGTATTCGGATGATGAGTTTTTCTTAACCAAGTAAATAAAAAATTGAACATTTTTTTTCCAACTCTTTTTTTTTTCTAGCAAGAAAAAAAATATAAGAAACCTTCTTTGCTAATTATTTATTGGATTTATTAAAAAAAAAAAAAAAACATGATCAGTTTATACCTTTTTTTTTATGGCTTGTTAAACGCAAGAAAACCAGAAATTCGTAACACATATGAACTTCTTAATAGTAACATCAACGAACAAGCATAGAAACGTTCACGACATGGACATGAATATAAGTGAATGAATGTATGAGTTGAGTTATGCCATCCATGCATGAGCTCTGTCAAATTATTGTTGTTTTTAATTTTGACGAAAAAAAATGATTAGCAGTATTTTTTTGGAAAGATTATGTATAGTCCTAAATAAACCGTGATAGTTCTCGAGTTTTAGCCTCCCTTTAATCACTAGTATAATCAACTTTAAATGAAGGAAACTCCCTCAATACCCCAATTTTAATTTGATAACAATTCCATATCAAAAGTAATATCAAATTACAATTTAAAATTCTAAAGCTACATAAATTTTTTTGGTATGTTTGAAATTTGAACATGTAATGTTGATGTATATTTCCTGAATTCTTTTTTAATCGCAACGTATTTCTTTTAGGAAAGTTATACGGAGTAAAGTAATTAAAACATCACATGGACAATGATTCTTTCTATCTCTCTCCTCATCACATTAATCACCCTTTTTTATTTTTCTTTTCTATCTCTCTACTCTCGTAATTAACGTGTAACTCTCCTATATTACAATTTAAAAAAGAACGAAATAAGTACTAGTGGGAAATTAGGTGCAAGTGCAAGCCCTGCAACGGCATTATATAGCATCATAGTGCTAAGTTGCTCATCAATCTATTTTAAAGTTGTTATTCGGATATTCCACTAGCAGTAATAAGTTGCTTTAAATTTTGACTCACAAAATATAAACACGATCATACTAAGAATTTAAGATTACTTCGTACTTCATACTCCATACTATTCTTAGGTAACGCTCTACAATATTAACGAAAGGAGTATATGTAAATGGATCCTTATTTGCATTTGCATCATCTCAATTTCATTGGTGGCCATCTTTTCAAAATGTTCAACCCACCTTTACAACAATTATCTTCACCAATTATTCTTATGATCGTCAATTTCATTCCATTAGTATTGACAATGTCCACTTCACTTGCAGTCACCCCTTCTTCCCGAGTGAGTTTTCGAGTTGATATTGCACGTATTAATTCCAAGTTAAAACTTCCCAACTCGCAAACAGCTCAAAGCACCATCAAGCTTGAAGGGTTTAGCTCACAAGCCGCGAACCCTACACCATCTCCTAGTTTTAAGTCGTCAGTTCTTCAAGCTGATGGCGAGTTTATAATGAACATGTCTCTCGGGACTCCTCCTAGGCAGTTTCCTGCCATCATGGACACCGGTAGTGATCTCGTGTGGACACAATGCATGCCTTGTATGGCTTGCTACCATCAAGCCACCCCTGTTTTTGACCCTAATGCTTCATCCTCTTTCTCTCCTCTTCCTTGTTCCAGCCCTTTATGTGCCTCTAAAACGAAAAAATGCATGAGTAATTTGTGTAGATATAAGACCTTATACGGGGATATGTCTTTCACACAAGGGTACCTAGCAACGGATACTTTCATCCTAGGTGACTCGACACACAATGTGTCTATACCGAACATAGGATTTGGCTGTGGGAATAATAATGGAGGGTCCGGTCTAGACACCGTGGCAGGCATTATCGGTCTAGGACGTGGCCCTCTGTCCCTCGTCACACAGCTTAAGGTGAAAAAGTTCTCGTATTGCTTGCCAGTGCTAGGAGAAAACAAAAAGGGTACCCTTTCTTTCGGGTCTCTGGCAGATGAGGGCTTTAATGCTAGCAGTTCTCAGGGTACCCCAATTCTCGAAAACCCGGTATTACCATCTCGGTACTATGTATCTCTAGAAGGGATATCTGTTGATGATACTCTTCTCCGATAATGAAATCAACATTCAGGTTGAAGAAAGATGGGACTGGTGGGATGATTCTCGACACTGGAACCACATTAACTTACTTGGAGCAAGAAGCTTACCAGGTGCTGAAGCAAGAGTTTGTGAAGCGCACAAGGCTGCCTGCTGTATTCTCCTCGTATACAGACCTGGATCTATGCTTTCGTACACCTGCTGGTAGAAATTGTTAGGAAGATACGATAGAATCTTCAATATGTTATCATTAGGCAAGATATATTTGATATATTTGCTAGATATTATATAATCTTATCTTAGGAAAGGATATTATTTAGTTTCCTAGTTTGATATAGATTGTTCCTTGAGGCTCAAGGTCCTCTTGTATAAATATGATTGATCTATGAATGATAAAGGCAAGCTATTGAATCGTAATATTGTCATGGTATCGGAGCCAGGGGGTTCTTCATAATTTTTTTTTTTACCACTGTATACAATGTCGCCCGGCGATGACAATCCACCGCCACCACCACCTAAAATTGAACCGAACTCCCCGTATTATCTAGGACCCCAAGATCGTCCTGGTGACTTCATAACTCCACAACGCCTAAAATTAAACAACTTCAATGATTGGTCTCATGCAATTTTTATTGCCTTATCTTCCAGGAGGAAATTTGGATTCTTGGATGGTACGATCACTACCTATGCTCCACCTTGTACGAAGGATGACTGGGTCACGATACAATGTATGCTCGTGTCTTGGCTTATGAACACGATTGATCCGGAGGTGAGGTCCATGCTTTCAAACTATGACAACGCCAAAAAGCTTTGGGATGATTTACATGAGTGATTTGGTCTTGTTAATGGACCACGGATACAACAAATTAAATCCGAAATTACTCGGTGTGAGCAAACCAAAACAATGCCAGTAGCAGTGTACTTTAGCAAGCTCTCGGTTTTATGGGATGAACTTGATAAGCATGAGCCCTTGATTGCTTGTAAGTGTGGCAAGTGTACTTGCGATGTCGGAAAGAAGCACGCAAATAGACGCGAAGGGGATCGTCTCCAACAGTTTCTTCTCGGGCTTTACTCTGAATATTATGCTGCTCTTCGCTCTACTCTTCTATCCCAGGAGCCTTTACCTTCCTTGAACCGTGCCTTTCAAACTATTGCCCAGGAAGAACGAGTCCGAGGATTTGCAACAATAAAAGACGAGGCTCCAGAAGTTGCTGGGTTTGCTGTGAGGATGGAGAGTAACTCCAAACCTCGTCTATCTCGCGCGGAAAGGGCAGCTCTGGTGTGTACTTTCTGCCACAAAAAGGGGCACGATGCTACAACTTGCTTCGATAAGCATGGTGTGCCCCCATGGTATATTGAAAAATACGGTTCGAAGGAGGACTCTCGTGGGTCTACTCGTGGTAGAAGAACCCCTGTTAAAGCCAACGCAACTCCACTAGCTGCTGCGCCATCATCCACCACTGCCTCGGCCTCTTCTCCGCTTCCGCAACTCACTCCCGAGCAGTGGCAAGCCGTCATGGCTGTTATGGGTAACGCGCCACCTCCTTCTCACCGCTTGAATGGTAAGTGGATTATTGACACCGGTTGTTCTCACCACGTCACCGGTGATTTCTCTTGTTTATTGGATGTTCGTGATGTCCCTTCATGCAATGTGGGCCTTCCGGATGGTACTAGTGTGATTGCTATGAAAGAAGGAGTTGTGAAAATAACAGACACAATATTTCTTCACAATGTGCTTTTTGTTCCTAAATTAAATTGTAACTTAATTTCGGTTTCACAATTATGCTCTACTAATAATTGTGAAGTCATCACTAACTCTAATACATGTACTATACAGGACCAACGCACGAGGGAGGTGATTGGAACGGGTGATCTCAAGGATGGACTATATTATCTTCGGGAAGAAGCTTCTATTGCGGCTATTTCGGTTGAAGACACCTTGAAACTGTGGCATAAATGGTTGGGTCACCCTTCTGAAAAAGTTGTAAAATTACTTCCTTTTCTTAGTAATTCTAGTGCTAATTTACCTAAAGATTGTGAAGTGTGTCATCGTTCTAACCACACTAGAGACAAATTTCCTATGAGTGATAATAAAGCTTCCCGTATTTTTGAAATAGTGCATTGTGATTTATGGGGCCCTTATATCGAACCTTCTTCTTGTGGTGCACATTATTTTCTAACTTTGGTAGATGATTATTCCCGTGCTGTATGGATATATTTATTGGTTGATAAAACTGAGGTCTTTAAAATATTTATGTCCTTTATTGCCATGATTGATAGACAATTTTCACAGAAAATAAAAATTGTGCGTAGTGATAATGGAACCGAATTCTTTTGCTTGAAAAATTATTTCCTAGCACAAGGTATCCTGTTTCAAACCTCGTGTGTTGGCACACCTCAACAAAATGGGAGGGTAGAGAGAAAACACCAACACATTCTCAATGTTGCTCGTGCCCTTCGATTTCAGGGGGGTTTACCAATATATTTTTGGGGGGAGTGTGCTCTTGCGGCCGCTCATATAATAAATCGTACTCCTTCAGTCCTATTAGGCAATAAAACACCTAATGAAATGTTGTTTGGCACCCTACCTTTATTTAATGAATTACGAGTATTTGGCTCTTTGTGTTTTGCTCATAACCAAAGGGCAAAAGGGGATAAATTTGCAAGTCGTAGTCGTAAATGTATATTTGTGGGCTACCCTTTTGGGAAGAAAGGATGGTAACTAATAAAAGTAAAATCAGAGTTTTACCCGATAGAAAACCCAATACTTTTATTTGACTTGGATAAAAAGGAATTTTTTGTTTCTCGGGATGTGCGTTTTTTTGAGGATGTGTACCCTTATTCGGATGCCGAAAGCACCAATATTGAGCTACGGATGGTATGAATGCTACAATAAATATGGAGGAGAATTTGGATTTTTTTACCCCTATTTTTGACAGTGATGAGGGGGACTCTATGCAGCAGCCACCGACTGCCCACACCCCTCAATCACTGCCGCCGCCCACCTCCCAGCCACGGCTACCCCTGACACGTCAGTTGTACAGACAGCAGGTGGTGAGGACTCCACAGCACCCGAGCCAATGGGGCGTGGTCACCGTCCGAAGTATGCAAACTCCAAATATAAAGATTTTGTCACTCATACTCATGTAGCTTGAAATAGTCCATCCGAAGCATCACTCAACCCAATTACTACTCCTCCCTCAGGTATGTCGTATCCTATAGCACATTATGTTAGTTGTGATACGTTTTCTGCAAAAAACCGAAATTTTGTTGCAGCTTTAACAGGTGGGAAGGAGCCACGATCCTTTAAAGAAGCAATGCAAGACCATGGTTGGAAGATGGCCATGAAAGAAGAAATGTGTGCTTTAGAGTCCAATGGCACGTGGACCTTGGAAAAATTACCTCCCGGGAAGAAGGCACTCGGGAGTCAATGGTTGTACGAAATTAAGTACAACTCTGATGGTAGTATTGAAAGATTAAAAGCAAGATTAGTTGTCTTTGGAAATCATCAAACCGAAGGCATAGATTATGATGAAACTTTTGCTTCGGTGGTCAAGATGACCACGGTTCATGCATTCCTTGCTATTGCCGCCTCTAAGAATTGGGAATTGCATCAAATGGATGTTCACAAGGCATTCCTTCATGGTGATTTAAATGAGGAAGTCTACATGAAACTTCCCCCGGGTTTCACAACTGATGAGTCGGGTCTTGTTTGTCGTCTTCGGAAATCGTTATATGGTCTTAAGCAAGCTCCTAGATGTTGGTTTGCTAAATTAAATTCGGCCTTGAAAAAGTATGGTTTTACACAATCATACTCAGATTACTCCCTATTCACTTATACAAAGGGGTCTGTGCAACTTAATGTTCTTGTTTATGAGGATGATCTAATTGTTGCAGGGAACAATTCTATGGCGTTGCAATTATTTAAAAATTATCTGAGCAATTGTTTTCATATGAAGGACTTAGGTGTTCTCAAGTACTTCCTTGGGATTGAGGTGGCAAGGAGTAGAACCGGTTTATTTTTATGTCAACGCAAATATGCTCTTGATATCATCTCAGAAACCGGCCTATTGGGGTCAAAACCGGCCATGACACCCATCGAACAAAATCATAATTTGGGGCGTGCTTCCGGCCCTACTCTTGCTAACCCAGAGCCATATCGAAGGTTGGTTGGTCGGTTAGTCTACTTGGCTGTTACACGGCCCGACTTGACATATGCAGTACATGTGCTTTCTCAGTTTATGCAGGCACCGCAACAAGTCCACTGGGAGGCTGCAATTCGTGTTGTACGGTACTTGAAAAGTACTCCAGGGCAAGGAATCTTGCTACGGGCTGATGGTGATCTCACCCTTGAGGGGTGGTGTGATGCGGATTGGGCAGCGTGCCCCATCACACGCCGATCTGTCTCGGGATGGCTGGTCTTCTTGGGTCACTCTCCTATAGCGTGGAAATGCAAGAAACAACCAACGGTCGCCACTTCTTCTGGAGAGTCCGAATATAGGTCCATGTGTGCCATCACTATGGAAATGAAGTGGCTAAAAGGGCTACTCTTGAGCTTGGGCGTGCAACATCCTCGAGCCATACCAATTTTTTGTGATAGTCAAGCGGCCATACATATTGCTCAAAACCCGGTTTTTCATGAGCGTACAAAACATATCGAAGTCGATTGTCACTTTGTCCGTAATGCAATACAAGATGGCCTCATTATTCCTCATCATGTGCGCACAAATGAGCAGCTAGCGGATATTTTTACAAAGGCCTTAGGAAAGCCTCAATTTGATTATCTCCTTAGCAAGTTGGGCATCTTTGATCCAAGTGCTTCAACTTGAGGGGGGGTGTTAGGAAGATATGATAGAATCTTCAATATGTTATCATTAGGCAAGATATATTTGATATATTTGCTAGATATTATATAATCTTATCTTAGGAAAGGATATTATTTAGTTTCCTAGTTTGATATAGATTGTTCCTTGAGGCTCAAGGTCCTCTTGTATAAATATGATTGATCTATGAATGATAAAGGCAAGCTATTGAATCGTAATATTGTCAGAAATGCTTCGAGCCACAGTTTCCCTAAACTGAAATTACACTTCAAGGATTTGGTGTTGGAGCTGCCCAAAGATAACTACTTGACTGATGCCAGCAGCCCGAGGATGGTGTGCCTGACAATCATGCCGAGTAATGGTGTATCAATGTTTGGAAGCCAGCTGCAGCAGAACTTTGTAATTCTTCATGATCTGGAGAAGCAGACAGTATCCTTCTTTCCATCTCAATGCGCATATGGTTAGATGAGAATTTTTTGTAATGGTAGAGCAAAAACTAATCAAAACAAAAATTATCACAAGAAAAACTAAAATGAACAAGGAATAACATAAAGCAGCGTCCGGCTTCTTATTCAAATTTCAAGACATTATCAAGAAAGGTGATAATTGCCGATAGTAGAAACTCATTAGTCATTGAACAAATATAGAATTACATGATGAAATAACCAAATGCTCTACTGATACAAAAAAATTCTCATCAGGAATCCAAAAATTAGTAATTGTTACAATTAGGTCACATAGATACAACAAACAAGTTCAAAGTGGTAGAATATCAGAAGCCCTGACGAGCCCCCAGGCACACAAGGAACACACATAAAGCAATTGTGAATTGTAAGGCAGCAAATGGATTCACCGATGAGCAACCTGAGGTAGCAATCCCAGCAGTGCTTGCAGCAGGTCCGCTGCCTGGAAATGAACCTAGAGGTGGTAAAGCTGCGCCTGTGGAACCAGGAACCCTAGCTCCCCGAGAATGCGAGGGTGATGGTGCTGGTGCTGATGCCGGAGCGTATATGGAATCCCGAGTAGCTGTAGTAGGAGGTGGAAAGACAGCAGGAAACTGCTGAGGCCCTGAACCATTTCGAGATTCAAATAGACCAAAGTCATTATGTTGTAACCAGACAGCTTAAGTGTTACGCAAATATACAATGATGCTCTATTACATAGAATTGAAATAATATTAAGAGGAAACTAGAGTTATCGGTGCCACAAGATTGGAATTAACAGCAAAAGGAAAAATAACAAGGTACATACTATGGTTCTGCAGAGTGCAGATCATGTTTAATTTAAATGTTAAAAAAATAAAACAAGCATAATGACCCTTTTATGTAGAACCACGGCTGCATATAAAGTGTTCAAATTTTCCATGCAAAGATTAATAAGAATATTTGATAATGGCCTCATCTTTTAGTGAATGGGAAAAAATTAACGCGTGGAATAGATGAACTGGTATCAACACCCCCAGCATCTCTAATTGAGATGGTACTAGCTGGATTCCTCGTGATTACAAGGTGCTACCCATTATTTGAACCCCACTGTTGGCTTTAATAAACTTTGATTGTTCCTTGTGGATTTCAATCTCTTGTAGAAGTAGATGTATGGAACCTCATAAGTAAACTAGAGAATTGAAGTTTCCAACACAACAAAACCCTTTTTACAGGATCGCAAGGTCTGATGTTGCAATATATGATGAGTATGTGACTCATTCTGATTTCCTAGTAATACCATACTTGTGTAGAATATGACTCAGAGACCCAGACCCTAACAGAACAATGGCTCATGCAATACATACTAGCAGTGGGAAAAATAAAAGAAAGACTCGATCATCCTTTAATAAGCATTCCTCTTGTGGGCAATTAGGAAGACACAAAAGCATTAAACTGGACACATGAAGAACCCTATACATTAGTTCTAGGTTTTACCTGGGCAACGAGGTTGAAGAGATGTGGACAACCTGAAAAACATCAATACAAATTTCAGCCAGAGAACTTTCAACCATAAATACTAAGAAAGATGCAGCTTATAGATAGACTCATAGACATACGTAGTCAGAATTGTGCCATTTGAAAAACCATCGTAATTACAAGAAGTAACATTGCAACCAGCACTGGTTTGTTGAATAGTAGAATTTCCAAGCATAAGGTTGCTACCACGGCATTGCATGCTTGAGCAAGATACTGCCAATGATGCTGGCATGCAATACAAACTGTAAACATAACCACAACCATGCTTAATCTACCAAGCAAATAAGTAAACCAATACCTCCAAATAAATTTAAAAGGCGAATATCATCTTGAATTGTATAAGTTACTTACTTGCGGCTCCCTGGGCCACAACTGCACTGTACACAGTGACTTGCGGAGATTGCATAACTTCCATTTGGAACAATTAGGCCATAATCAGAAGCAGTTGTGGGAAAATTTGATGCACATGCTGCAAGGCAATGACAAAATTAGAAACTTTTCCATCACACCATTGTTTAGATAAAAGATACCGAGAGAGGATTCCAACAAAGTGAACCTCATTGCTTGTTTGAATACTCTTTAAATTTTACAACATATAGGTGACAGGTGACAACAGTCACAACACACACGCGCGCGCACGCACTCACCCACTGACTGACCCACACACACACTATAATTCATCGTTTTGTGTAAACATTGCAAATTTAGCTAGAATTAACTAACTAAATTCTTAGATAATTCCTTAATGTATGCCAAAAAAAAAAAAAAAAAAAAATTATATTATTACTACCTTGTTCAAAAAGCTTGTATTTTTCATACAAAGGTACTAAGTAACTAAGGTAGTACGGAGTAGTATACTACAATTCTGATCTTCAATAAAAAAAATTTGAATGAATTCTAATCTTCAATATAGCCTTACTAGAGTACATAGCATTAAAATAACACATTTTTCTACTATAAATCTATCAAGCACTTAGAAATTCATACAGGAGTCTGCATTTCAGTTAATTTAGCATTCTATACATACTTCGTATAATATAAAGTCTACCAATGTTGTAGCACAATGCAGAAAACTCCCATAACTGAAAAGCTCAATTAATATTGCAAGCTAAACAATAAACATGGGCGCATGGTACATCTTAAAACAGAACAAACTGGGATGTATTCAATTCATGACAAAATCACGCGTCAATCAGTGTTATAAACAATGCTAAACCATCTTGTCATTCAACTTCATATAATGGGTTACACACATCATTTTCCAACAGTTAAAACAACAACAAGAAAAACAGGACAGTGTTCTCACCAGACAGTGGCACTGACAGTATATCTCCAGGAAAAATAGCAGTACTTCCCATAGCATTAACATTCATCAAATCAGTAATGGTATTCCTATACCTCGCCGCGATACCAGGCAATGTATCAGCAGGCTGAACAACATATGACAAATAGATAGCAGGCAAAGAGTTATCAGTATTATTAAAACAAGTACAAGGCAAAGGCACAACCAAATTCTGTCCAACATCAAGAACAGCAGTATCAGTAATTGAATTAGCTTCTCTAAGCTGATCTGCAGACACTAAACCCCCATAAATTGAGTCTGCAATCGAGGAAAGCGAATCCGAAGGCCGGGTTTTGTAATGGGTAGACACTGATTTCCTAATACCATCAACACAAGAGCAACTAATGGGGATTCTGAGGAATAACTGGGATGGTAATATATGGTTTTCGACATCCGGGTACGAAATGTCGATTGAATTTGCGGTTAATAGAGCAATTGGGTCGATTCCAAAGAGCGCAGCTACCTCAGAAACCTTAAGGTCAGTGTATAAAGTGTAACCAAGCATAGCATTGCATGAGTCTGAGTTTGAACAGGGTTCAATGGTTGATTTTGAGCTTACTAATGATAAAATTGACAAGATTGTGAGTGTGAAAATGGTTGATTTTGAGCTAAACAGTGAATTTGAAGTGGGTTTTGAGTTTAGCATCTTAGGTTGCTTTTTTTTTTGTCTGAAATGAGTGAGAAAAACCCAGAAACAAGATAAATGGAAGAAAAGTTTGGTTTTTTTTTGTTGGGTGTTTGCTTAAGTTAAGAGGTTTTTCTGGGTAATAAGAACAAAAAAAAAAATCTGGGGTTATTGAGGAAGATGTAAACGGTTGGAAATTTGAAAGGGGTTTTGAGGGTTTGGGAAAAACTGGGTTTGAGGAGAGAGATTGGAGGCGGAAGAAGAGGGAGGAGAAATGGAGAAGTCTGTTAAAGTTGTAAAAGTAAGGAAGAAGTGGACAAAAGTTGTGCAAGACATAGGTGTGGTTGTCTTGATTTTCGAGCTTTTTTTTTGAGTTGTGACAAGACTATTTTCAATTTTACCATGATTCCATGAGTTCACTATTTTGCTCAGTCTCACTAAAATTGTACAATATTAGGTTCTGTTCTAATATGAGTATTTTCATTTCAGTTTAGTTCAGTTCAATTTAGTTCACTTTCTAATTTTTTTCTCTTATAATAAATTCATTTCAATTCATTTCAGCACTTTTCAGTTTATGAGAACAGGCTTTATTTTGGTATTGATAATTTGATATAAAGTACTATCATAAATTCATAATACAATTTATTTTTATAATTTTTATTAATACTTGTATTAACTTGTGTAAATTATAAAAATAAGGTCAAATTAGTAAATCAGTATATTTGTAAAATTTGAATATGTCAGTTATTTTCGGACAGAATATCTGCATACTTTATAGTGTATATTTTTTTTTTTTTTGAGGAACTTTATAGTGTATATCATTTCATTTGGAAACACTTTTTTTTTTTCATTTTGTGGTGATAATTGAGTTGTTAAGGGAATACAATATATTCATTTCGTTTAGTAATAATAGCAATTTAATTATATTTTTTTACAAGAAAAAGAAAATTTTCATTACTAGAATATAGCCAATAAATGTTGTGAGAAATAAAATTAAGACTTGTGTTCTTGAATAAACTTTGCTTGTAATACACTCCATGATTAACATATTACTAGCTTGCTAACTTCATTCTCATAGGTCATAACAACTAATATTGACATATTACATTTAGATTGATAATTAATAAATGAAAGCAATCAGCATTAAAAAAAAATAATAAATGAAAGCAATGACGAACCTTTATATGGTTAATGCAAAACCTTTGTCATGGGTACTAAAATTTTGTTCTAAATAATGAAGTACAAACATATACCCAGTACTTGGGTTTCAACTGTCATGTAACTTGCAATATACTCCCTCTGTTTTTAAATACTTGTTCAACTCTCTTCTTCTTCTTCTTCTTTTTTTTTTTTTTTTTTCCTTCTGCGGGCCGTTTTTAAATACTTGTTCTATTTTCTTATTTGAAAAGCTTTTACAATATTGAATTAATTTCTCTCACATAGCGGACCCATCATGATCATATTTTATTATTTTTATACTCACTACTCTCTTCCAATTCTCTCCACAACTTTTGCTTTTTATAATTTTTTATTCTTCTACCTACCCCACCACCTCCATATTTTATTACTTTCTCCAAATTCTCCTAAAATTTCGCGTATGGAGAAATCGAACAAGTATTTAAAAACGGAAAGAGTATTTTTTATATTTTTTTAGTATTTCATAGTGACATGACACATAAATCGATGCAAAACTTTAATCGATATTATCTTAATTATTATTAATTATAAATTAAACAATTGAATAGTAATAATCTACAAGTTCAAATTTGGTCCACTTACCATTTCTTTCTTTTTTATTTTTTATTTTTTTATCTTGATGTCAATTGACTCTCGACACATGTGCAAAATATCATTTTAAATGGTATCATTATATAGTTTAATTACTGGTAAAAGTTTTTTCAATTTTACAATACATGTGTATCAATACACTACCTATAGTATAAATTACTTTGGGTAATCCCAAGTTTCTCATATTGATTAACATAAATTGTTTCTCATGAGGGTATTTCTGTAATTCTAGTATGACAGTTGTTGGACTTGACATAGACGGAGTTAACAAGGTAAACCCATGTTACTTTACTTTTGAACAATGCTCAAAATTGATGCTCAGAAGAAAAAATACATTCCCAAATTCCGATTCAACACAGTACATTATTTCCAGTTTTCCACCATTGAAGCAATTTAAGGTAAGATTAAAAACTCAATTTCACGATCTAGTGTTAATCGGTAATCATCAAAGTTCAATTTCACAATCTATTATTACGTAGTAGCTTCAATGGAGAAGGAAAGCTCATAAGCGTCAAACACCTATACATTAGGGGTTAACCATACCCTTAATTTCAATTTTTTTAGGGTTTTTCGTTAAATTCTGGCGGCGAAGCCGCCATTCAATGGAGGCATTCGAGTTTGAATGGAGGAATTGGAGCTTTTGCGGCGAAGCTTCAATGGAGGTTGTTGTTGGTGGAGATGATTTAGATGAAAGAGGAAGAGGATGGTGTTGGACAGTCGGTGCTTGTTGTTGGTGGAGACAAAAGTGGAAGGTGAATGTGTTGGTGTTTGTTGTGATAGAGGTGAAAGACTAAGCTCCGATGGTACTGCAATGTAACGCCGCTAACGATAAACGCAAACTTGATATGACGCCGTCAAGTTTAGTCCAAGTCATCAACTATAGTGGATTTTACAGTCAGCACTTCTTATGATTATAATACCATTAGTTTACAATTCCCGATGCATTTTAATTACACAAATGCCATTTGAGAAACTCTTCTTGTTTCTCAAGAAGAGGAACTAGGGCACGCCCAATTACTTTAGTATGAAGTGGAATAGTATAGAGTCTAACAATAGAATATTAATAGTTGTTTTGGGTGTTTTTGTCCCTCGGGAGAGTTACAACACGAAGACTGATCCGGGGTGAGCTGTACCTGCAAAACAAACGGAGACACCAGTTGGGTGGTGCTCCGCCTCCGACGCACAAGTTAGAAACTTGAAGGGAGAAAAAAGGTGCGGAAATTTAGGTAGAGATCTGCTCGGATTCCAAGCTCAGGATGTCTCTATCAAAGAGTAAATGTGTAATAAATGATCAAAACGTGCCCTCAAAATGAGGGACATCTCCCTATTTATAGGGTCTTTGGGAATTGTGCCCCTTATTAGGTTACTGAACCCTAATCATTGGTGGGTTGCGCCGTTTGGCGGCATTCTCGGGATTTGGGCCTAAAGACTGCCTTTTCCCTTGATTTCGGGAATGACACGTGTCGAGCAGGGATTGGTCCATGTTAGACCAATCTGGGGATGACACGTGTCACCTTCTGATTGGGCCACGTGGCAGGGTAAAATTAGCCTAAACATTTGCCCCTCACAGATGTGATGTGGCACGCCACGTGGCATATGTGACACATGTCACGCTCCGGCTGGCGGTAATTTTACCGTTACAGAGTAACCGTTCACCTTCCGGGTAAATTACGGAAATGCCCCCAAATTTACCCTCTATATATAGCCGTTTTACCCTCATAATTTTGTACGTTTACAAAAATTTCCTAGAGAGAAAAACTCTGAGAGAGCAGAAGTCACTTGTTTGAGGCAAACGCGAGCAAGAAAGTTTGTTCTTCAGCAATACAGCCGGTCCCGTCTACGTTCAGATACCAAATCAAAAGGTACCGTCTCTGTCTCTCTCAGCTCTTTTCTTTTTGCACTGCTTGTACAATTTCTTGCAATAAATGGATGCATCACCAACACACACGGCACAACCTAGGTTAGAGTCCAGCCGGTCACCAGGGTCGGCTGAGTCTAGGACTGGGAGTGCCGGCTCGGGGTGTTGGGACCACCCTTTGCCATGGATTCCGACCAGTTATGTGTCTGTGCAGGACACCATGGCTCGGATAATGCAGACGGCCACGGACCCGAATTACAAGAGCGAAGGCTCAGGCGGCCAAACGCCTGAGGGAGAAACGTCTGGTCAGGGAAACTAGACGGCTCTGGAGAGATCCCCTTCGCGCGCCCCTTCAACCCCTGCAGACTCTTTTTTGGAAGAGTGTGACCAAGGCGGCGACGAGGCCGCCTCTGCCCCCATGGACCAAAGCGAGGGGGAGACGGAGAGCGACAGCTCCGCCTCTACCTCCGAGAGCAGCGATGACTTGCCCCCTCTTCCGGATAGCGAGGAGGAAGAAAGGAAAAAGTGGAGTGAGAAGGACGACCCCTTCAGCATCCACGTCTCCTCCAAGGACCGAATCCAGATGGGGGAGAACTTAGAGAACTTTAAGAAAATGCACCCGCTTGGAGACGGGTATAAGATCCGGGTGCCGCCTGAGCTGGGCACCGTCGCTTGGGGGGATGATCAAGAGAACGCCAATAGCTATTTTGGTTGTTATGAGGCGGCGTTCAAAGCCGACCTTCGCTTCCCCCTTCACCAGGCGGTGAAGGCAATTTTGAGAGGTTACGGCCTTAGGGTCTAGCAACTTACCCCCAACTCCTGGACCAACATTCTGGGGTATGTTGCCGCCTGCGAGTTCCAAGGGCTTAACCCTAGCTGGGAGGCCTTTGCAAGCATGCATTACCTCAGCAGAAGCCCAGGCGGCTGGAGGGCGTGGTATACTCTAACCACACAGCCGCAATACATGATGACCTTGGACAAGGTCTCCAAGTTCGATGGCTGGAAGCACAGGTTCTACCTGATGTCAGCCCCGACCAGACGGGAAAATTATGAATTCCGTCTGTACAATAAGAAGCCCGACTTGTTGGGCAGGAAGTGCGCTCTTCCCCGGATCCCAGAGGAAGACTTTGACAAAATAATCGAGGCAGACTTTTTCGGCCTCACAGACGCAACTCTGTCAACCGGGGAAACAATAAAAGTCCCTAAGAATTGGATTCCCAAGAGCGCTTGGTTCAGGGATGAATGTTTTCTAGCCGCCTGCGGGCTAGGGCACATGTTTAATAAACGTATGCGCCTGGGTTCACACCGTCTGTAGTATTTTTCTATCGGAATTGATTTATGATTCTGATCAATTTCTCTTTTTGTAGAAGAAGCGCTAAACATGTTGCAGTCGGAGAAAACTCCCAAGCGGTCTTCTGCGACCATTCGCAAAGATCTTGCGGAGAAAGCTGCGGCCGAGCTCAGGGCCAAGGTATTGAGCGCCTGACCCTTTCTTAAGTTTATTTTATAAACTGTCTTGCCCGGATACTAACCTTGTTTATTTTCACAGGGGGGAGAAGTTGGGAAATCGTTTGAGAAGAATCTCAAACGGGCTAGAAAGGAGGCCCCAGCCGTTCTCAATAAAATAAAAAAGTTTGCCTCTGCGTCAACTCCTGGCGCCTCAGCCGGGGCTAAGACGATGCGGATAGCGGGCGACTCGAGAAGGTAGGCGGCAGCCTGTGCCTTGATCTTGCCAACCCCTCAGCAGCCGCGGGGTTCACCACGCCTGCAAGCGTTTCCCGCTTGGCCGGCTCTGAAGGTAAGAACCCTTTTGAATCCCCGCTTGAGCTGGGGTG